AGAAGCAAATAACTAGAATCGTGAATTTGCCAAAGGTGAAAGGATTGCAAGCCGTGTAAATAAAATATTAGTAGAATAATCTACAATTAATCATAAAGGCAAACCAGCAATAATAAAAAATGTAATGATTGCAGCCCGACATTCATTAATACTTGTCCAAAGATTGGGTTGGCAAGTAATTTATGATAGAAAAATGATTGACCCACCCAGGCTAAGCGTTATGACAAAGAATGAATTTGCTGTGCTTATTAAAAAAATTGAAGAGCAGATACCAGCAGATAGTAATGATTATTATAAGCTATTCGATGAGAGCTTAAAGGAATTAAAAGAGAGCTTTTAAAAATTATGCTGATAAAAATTTTTATAATTATTCATTCAAGTTTTTTTGTAGTTTAAATCATTATTAAATTCATTTTATACTGCTTGTTTTGCTTTCTTTACTCAATGAATTTAAATTATAAATACATTTTAATTAACAATAAGACTAGAGGATAAAAACCAATGTATAATTGTTCTCAATACTACTAAAATTTGGTTTGTCCATTTCTAATTTTAATATAAACATGACATGATTCTTGTACCATATTTTTGCGTAATAACCCCCAAAAATAATAATAACATAACTTCTTTTTGTTGCATACCTTTGAATCGTATGCACAGACTATCCAAAATCTGCAATCTTGATCTCATCATTCAAATCTATCAACAAGTTTTCTGGTTTTATATCTCGATGAATAACATGTTTTTGGTGAATATAACTTAATGCTCTAGCTGTTTGTGCAATATACTATTTTAGAAAAAGAAATGAACTCATAAATTTCAGAAAATATTTTATGTATTAAATTTATTTCAAAAATTAATAAACAAACCCTTGATGCTTTTTTTTTTTTAAGTCTACCTGATTTTACAAGTTGTTTATAAAGTTCTCCTTTGGCTGCATATTCAAGGATTAGAACAAAATATATATCATCTTGAAAATACCCAAGAAGTCGAAGAATATTTGGATGCCTTTCATATTTAAACATTTATTCAGTCACTAAAAAGGCGATCATATATCTTTATTTAAAAATTACCTTAGATTCATCTATATCTCTACTTTGCATCTCAATTGTCTTTCAGCATTTACTTTAATTAGTTCCCCAATAGATAGCACCTTCAAGGCTACTATATAGTCACTTATTTTTTCCCTTGCAATGTAAACACGGCCAAACTGTCCCTTACCAATATCATGTCCTATATCAAAGCTTTTTAATGACATTTGGAGTACTCTATTAAAGATATAAAATGTTAATTTATATTGCTCACATAATTTAAACTAGATTATGATTTCCATTATTACCTAATGGGTTGACTAATTATAATTTCTTTCTGATATTCTTCATTATTTTCTTAATTCATTTGTCTTTTCTGTTAGAACGCAAAAGTTAAAAGTTATGCTTAGTGATGATTGACAAAATTAGCCAAACATCTCATCTATTTTCACTATGATCAATTGAGTTACATATTAGAATTTTAAAAAAAAAATATTGGTACAGACACTTTTAATATGACCGATGATTAAGAATATTAGTTAACGTAATTTAAAAAACTATCAAGATCATAAGGTATATCAGTTGACATCATCATAGTCAATTTGTAAAATATAAAATTCATCATTATTTACCTTTTTCTCTTTTACTATCGCACAGTTAAAAAGATCATAATCAAAACTATAGAAAATAATTAAAAGTTCGATTAATCTTATGGAATACTAAGGGGGGAAGTTAGAGAAACTGTTTTCAATGGCCCATCGTGCTCAGCAACCATTTTCTTAAGTGATAACACCATTAATAGACACATCTAATTTCAGAAAAAACTCATTAAAAAATAATTAATGAACTAGTTAACATAAGGGAGAAAGAATCTATGATCATTGAAGATGTAGATAATGTTAAAATATTTATTGTCACAGAACATAATGATAATAAAATTGGATTAAAATGAAA